CCTCCAGCGATGCGGACGCTTGGAAAGCTTCGCCTATTACTCACTGAAATGTACTGTACTCTATGCACAACGCGCACAATACACCGTGCTCCAGTATGCCAGTTGGCAGGCATGTCCACTGCCAACTGCAGTTCCGGCGTTCAAGCGGATTCGGACGTATTCGAGCGGGTTCGAAGTATCTGAGCGGATTCGGGCGGGTACCGGCGCGGTCTGAACGATTCCTTATCACCTTCAGACTTCCCATGTTGATAAGCACCTCTGACCATCAACAATGAAATCTCTCGCCTCGCAATCGATCTAATGCGTGACCTGAGCAATTAATTGAGGGGTCGCTACTCTACTGCACGAAAATCTCTAACTTCAGGTATGGACAGGCTCAGCACAGATCGTATAGAAGCACCTGGATTCCTTTTTGGGTCGAAAAAGCAAAGTAGGTGTCGTTTTTGTGATAAAAAATTGCAACGTTTCGTTTCTTGGGTCTTTTAACGGTCTAGGGCTGAAAGTCAAAGGGGACTTCGTAAAATTTCGCAAAAGTCGTGAGGGACTTCGTTTTCAGGAAGCCTAGAACGAACTCATGCCGGGCCCTGAATATGGACAGTGTTTTAAGTCGCAATTTTGGTGCACAAGCGAGAGCTTCTGCTGGATTTGATGGAGAACATGGTTACCCACAGCCGATGATCTACGAGAGCTAAACCGAACTATGTTTCTAACTAACGATAACTTCTCGTAAGGATACATCCTAAATAGAGAAATGCTCGCGGCGTTCTCCGAAAGAAGTGTGATGAAGTAAGAAAATAGCATAGCCTAAAAGGAATGCTTCACAAAAAGATGCAAGGCTGACCATCTGAAGAAAGAAAAGAATGTGAGGAAAACACACACCAGACTGGTAGCGCTCAAAACACGAAATGAACAGAAATCACAATGGAAGCCACATCATTCGATATGCCACGTTTTAGATCGAACGCGCCTGATTGAGCCTATGCAAATAGGGATTTTTCGGGAGATGAGAAAACCTACCATTGGAGCTTATGTAGAGACATGAAGTCCTTCCCATACCAATGGCAAGTTATCAACAAACCTTAGTGAACAAGCGCTCCCTAGAGACGAACAGAAAAAATGAAGGGAAAGTTCGGATGCACGATAATTTTCGGAACAGTTTGCGGCATTTGTATTTTGAACTCGATTACACCATCGCAAATATACAGTAGGCCATAAGCTGGCCCCAGAGATTGTGGCGCGCTTGCGTTGATGGCCGGGTGGGTTTTGAATTTTTTCCAGAGTGTTGGTAAATAGAGGACGCATTTCTCAGTGATTTAGGTGAGATAGGTGCTACAACATGTTGAACCGAGATAATCCTCTTGTGGCGATTGCATCTGGGCAATTTGCTTTGAGCATCATGCAGGTGAGAAAGCTGTATTCCTTTCTACTTCATAAAAGACTAAAATTTCGTAGGTAAGACCGTTCAAAGTTGGACCACTAGTTTCAAAGTCAGCTGGTTCTCACAAAATTACAAGAATACGGCTTATTGTGCATGAGTTGGAAGCCTTTGACAACGATGTGAGAGTCTCTCAGCACGAAAAATTCACAAAAAAAGTGGCTCCGCAAAGCTGCGAAATGCAGAGGCGGAGAAAGACCAAGGAAAGAACGAGATGTATGAAAAATGGGGATTTGGTCAGAAATTGTCCATTATTGAAGAATGTTCTTCAAGATTTCGATGTTTATAATAAAAAATCTTTCTGAAGTCTTCCAAAAATTATGTTTCGCCACACACACATTCGTTACTTCCTTGTTCATCCATGGTTCACCCACTTCTCTGCTGGTCAAGTAAACGAGCTGACCAAAAGCAAAGTGGATGAAGTATATCAAACATGAGATGGATGCTGAAAAATTCAATCTCGAAAAGCGAAATATATACAACATTTCAGGATACTAGGTTTTTTAAAATAACAATTTCGACAGCACATCCTTTCTAGGTGATGTTTATGTTCTATTACGTGAAAATATATCTGAACATCTTTCACGTTCCTCAAGTATGGTTCAACATTGCTCAAACACTATTCATGTTTTGGAATGCAATCAACGACCCTTTGTTTGGTTATATACAGGTAAGTATTGTACTTTAACAATTTTTCCACATCTCCAAATTTTCAGGACAAGCCGGGATCTTGGCTGAATTCGCGAACGCGTGTGATTCGCTCATTTGCACCTTTTTTGGTCATTTCGTTCGTGTTTATGTGGGTGCCATGGTCGGAGGGTTCAGCTCTTGAAGGCATGCATCTCATCCTTTCGCTGTTTCTGTACGACGCATTCTTCAGGCATGAAACTTTTTATTATCAGTACGGCTGTTTTTGGCTTTTTTTAACAATTTGTTTTTTTTTCTGACATAGTTTTTGTTTTTGATTTTTGTCTAGGAGTTTTGGTGAAGTAGAAGCTTTTCTTTGCCAGTAATCCCAATCATTTTCTACACATTTCAGTGCCATCGGAGTAGCCTGGGGCGCCTTGTTCGCGGATTCCACCAAAGAACCACGTCTTCGTGTTGCAGCGATGAAGTATAGTCAAATTGCAATACTCGCTTCAGTCAACATCATCGCTATCACCGAGAAACTTAGCCACAGCCTCGACGTGAGTCAGTTTGAAGCTTAAAAACTTAAAATCTGTCCAATAGTTGGACAGATAGACAGATGGATAAGTAATTGTACAAGTGGCAGCTAATAGGATTCATTCGTAGGATGAGAAAAGCTCTGAACTTTCGC